TCCACCCATTTTCATTTTTAAAAATTTGGAGTCAAACTGGGGCTAAATGTGCAATTTAGTTTGTCATTAATTTATACTGTCATGTGACATGATTTACACCATTGATTTTGAAGACACACATCACATCATTGCACAAATTCCCTCCACACAAAGGGAAACATCATTAAGAATGTACACCACTATATATATCTAGCATAATTCATATGTAGATTGGTCTTTACTTTTTATTATCAATTCTCGAAATCCCCATAGCATTTATTTGATTAAACTTTATTAGATTTTTGAATATCTTAAGTGGTCAAACTTCAAGTTAAACATACATTTAACTCCTGTTTGGTGGAGATTAAAATTATATTTTTAGTAAATTTTAATAAAATTATGATTAAAAAGTTGTGGATCACTTGAAATATGTAGTTAAAGCTAATTGTTGATATTAACTTAAAGCCCTTGTTTGAGAATTATTACTATCACTCTTTTTTCTACATATTCATTTTCAATCATTCGTTCACAAAATAAAATACTATGTAAGTAAATCTCAAACTTTTTCCTACTTTTTAACTACGTATTCTAATAATAATAATAATAATAATATTTTATTATTTCTTTTAATTTTTTATTACAATTACTTAACATAAAATAAGGAATTAAACTAAATTGGCGAATAATAAATATTTAGGTAAATAATAAAATATTTATATTAAGCATTTCAAAGAAATAATTTTAAATACATAATATACATTAAAATTAAATAATTCAAATAATAATTAAATATTAGACAACACAATATAAGCAATTAAAATAAATAGTTAACTTTAATAATCAAAGGAAATAAATAAATAAGTAATTAAAAAAATAAATTTCTGGGCCTAAATAACGGTCAGCCCAGACAGCCCCGCTAGGTCGCCCAGTGAATTGGGCGCCCAGGCGGCCCAGTCAATTGGGCGGTCTGGGCGCAGTTGACTGGCCCAGACGGTCGAGTCAATTGGGTCCCCAGACGGCCCAGTCAGCTAGGCCAACTGTCTCCTTCGTGGAGATCGCCGGAAAACTCTATTTTTGGCGATCTCCACTCCATTTTCCTCCTTCCAAACTATTATCCTTACCCAAAAATCATGCATTTTTCCAAAAATCAACACATGTATATAAAATCATTTTTTTTAAATCAACATAAAAACATTAAATATGGGTTGCCTATTTTTCCTTTTTTGTCGGTGATAGAGTAATTTTTCTCTTTCCTTACTATTTTCTCTTTCTTTTTTAGATGGTAAGAGTAAATTTGGATTTCTCTTGATTTTCAATATTTTAAAAATTTTTGCTTTTTTTTTAATTGGTCAAAGGGCTCTTTGGAAAAATGGCCGGGTCAATCGGCCATTGGCCACTATTTCCTCCATTTAACATAACTTTTGCTTTTGCTTTTTGTAAAAATTTTTTTGAAGAAAATTACCTTAATTTTTATTTGAAAACTAATATTTAAAAGCACTTTTCATTACGAAAATATTTTTAGAGAAAGCTACCTTAAATTAGCTTTCTGTAAAAACTCTTCTAACTATCAAAAGTACTTTATCAAAGTTAGCTAGATGGAGTCCAAAAGCAGTTTTTGAGTCTCGAGCTCCTTTTGAATTTTTAAAAGTGAAAATTACACTTAGCCATCGTTTTTAAATTTCCAATTCAAAAATAAGATTTGAAAGTTTTTTGTTCAAAAATTAGGTAATAGTTTAAATATTCTAATATTATAAAATTAAATTAACTTACGCCATCCGCGCCCCACACCACACCCCACGAAACCTTAATTCATCTTTAAGCTTTTGATTCATTTTCCACCTCTACCTCCACCTTTACTCCATCCAATCCGTTGACGATTCTTCACAATGCTCGTGCGCAGAGACAGAAACAACACTGGTGACCTGTGCTTACGGTGACAAGTGCAGCACTAACCCCCATGTGTGCGACAGTAGGTGCATCGGCGCCCATGCATCCCGTCTCGTACCGACACCTCACCATCGCCGCTGCTTCTTGCGTTGGCACCCATCCTTTACCAAAGTTTTGTAGTTTGTGGTAGAGCGTCAGTGATGTCAAATTTACTGTTTGAGCGCACGATGATGTCTGTAATGAAATCGTTTTTGACGATGAGCTGTATTATATCATTTTCTTCCTTATCCAATTTTGCTTATCAGGAGTTTATGGGTGGTCATGGAGGTTACTATGTTAGCCCCTATTTGGGAGCCTTTTTTTTTCACACTATGCATTTTTTGACCGTTGGAATGGGGCCAATTTTTGCCAAAACTGACACATCCACCACAATTGAGAATTCAACTGTATACCATATTATGCCAATTGTCACTTTTGCCCCTCAATACTAGACAATTTTAAAATCTAGGAGGGGGCACTCGTCATTTTGCATGCCCACAACATTTGACCATTTTGGAAGTCATTGTAATGTTTAATAATTACTGCATGTTCGGGACCCACTGACCTTCTCAAATGGTAAAAAAATTAATTTAATTTTAGCCAAAAATGGCTCCCAAATATGGGCTTAATTTTCGATTTGATTTTTTAGTGGTTTTGTAATGATGGCGACGCTGGTGAGGTGGTGGTTATGTTGATGGTAATGGTGAGGTGGTGGTCATGATGGTAGGGGTGGGTGGGAGGTGTTTGTGATCAATTATTTGGTTGATTGTCGAAGTTGTGTCTATGTTTGTACTGCTAATAGTGGGGGATGTGTTGGTGATGGTTGCACTATTAAGCTGTGTTGGTGGTAGTGGTTACAAATGGTTGTGGTAGTGTGGCGATGGTGTTTGGTGATAGTGGTATGTGACCAATTATCTAGTTATTATGTGACCAATTATTTAATTGTGATCTAAAAATTCGATAATTTGTGATCAACTAAGTTGAAAATCTATGACCGATAAATTAAATTGTGACTTATAAATTTTTGATTTGTGGCCCATCAAAACTTTTTACTGTGATCATGAAATAATTCATGATCAATTAATTTGATAATATGTGGTCAATAAATAAGTTGTAACCATTAAGTGTATAATTGTGACCTTAATATAATTAATTAATTAATTAATTAAGACCTGAATTTTGAAATTTAAGACCTGGACATTGACTTGTCACATACTTAACACTTGACTTGTAATTTTTTCTTTTTTTAACAGTCATATCAAATAGACCATATATTATCTTGTTTAATTAAGAAAATAAAATAAAAAAAAGGAAAAAGCCCCTCATCCCGACTTGGGGACAGGATTGAAGACAGGGACGTCGACCAAAGGCAGGCACCCCTCCAATAGGGGGGCGCCATTGTCCCTGTCCCCAAGTCGGGACAGGAGCGGGGCTCATAAAAAATTAGGATAGAACTTGACCTAGCTTCCAATTGAAACTACAATAGAAGTTACCCCCCGTTTGGCCCCCATTTTTTTTTTTTCAAATTTTAATGTTTAGAATAATATTTTTTTGAAAAAGGATGAGAAATTTTCGTTATACGTGTAATATTATTTTATGAAAGATTGTGTGATTGAAAATAAGAGAGAGGAAAAAAATAAAAGAGAATGGGAGCCAACGGGGGCTTAATCTATTCAAAGATGGAAAAGTTAAAAAACTATACTTCATTTGACATAGCTATATTTTGCGTTATACGCCAAGTCTAGTATATCTCTAGCTCTGATCGTTTTTGAATTCGTTACTTAAAAGAAAATTGAATAAATTTATCAAGTTACTAAAAGTTCGGGAAATACATAGCTTTCTCATTGACAAAATCTCGAGAAATTTCCCTCTTCTCGAATGGGAAAATAGTGCTTCAGCTGTGATATTACCTATTTTGGCAACACGCATCGTTATCTACTAATTGGTGACTCGATTTTTGTGCTCTACTTACTTCTGCAATGCCATAAATATAAATTGTGTGACGATTAACAAAGTAGAATTAAGACTTGAAATTAAACAATGTTCGCTTTAATTTGGCTAGGAGAAACTTTTCCATCCCCTAGAATAAAGGTGAGTTTTTGATGGTATGTCCATTTATTTCTTGGTGCCTTGTTGCATTTCTCAGTCTTTTTTAAGTGGCTTCTCCTTGAGCCCATGTTGGTCAATTTGACAAACCCCCACTTTCCATTCATGATTCATCCATCCATCAATGATCGAAGTGGGCATTTGCACCTAATAAGTTGTTTGGTGGACACTTCTTGCCTTAGTATACATATTTGGGGCTCAAACAATGGGCTTAACACGTGTTTGATTTTGATAGGAAAAAAGTTTAAGCTTTAATAAAATTTAATTAAAATTTGATGAAATATGTAGTTGAAATGTTTATAAAAGTTGTAAAATCCATAAAATGTGTAATTGAAAATAAATTTTAAAAAATGAAAGTCAAAAGGGAACTAAATATCAAGCAAGGAAATGGTATGTGAAATTTCCAACAATTGGCACAAAGTCCAAGACATTGCCTCGTCGAATCCACTAGTATTTTTACTGATTCTCATAACTGTATTGAGATCCTTGTTTGATCATCAATATTTCAAAATATATATTTTTTTCTCTTTTTTTTAAGCACACATTCTTTAATAAAATAATATTACACCAAAATCTACAATTTTTCCTTAATTTTTTACCATACATTTTCTATTAATATACTATTTCAAAATGTATAATGGGGCTCAAACAGGCAAATGGGTGTCTTATTTTTGTGCAAATGATATGATGAAAGCCAGTAATCGAGAATAGCACCTTGTTTGGTCCTCATTATTTAAAATTTATTTTCAATCATGAGTTCACAATATTTATTGATATTTTAAGTGTACATTTCATTAACTTTATCAAAATTCACTAAAAAATTGATTTCTATCAAAATCAAAGTGGCTCAATTTTAAGGTTGTGATTTGAATGATTACTTCCTCTGATTTAAATAAAAATCAGATTTTACAAATTTTAATTAAAAAATGATGAAATATATGTTTAAAAAGTTATGAAACGTGGTGAACTTCAAAAGATACCTTTGGAAAAGCCACGTCGATTGGTAGAAACTGACGCTAGTTTCCGTGTCACGGAATTCTCCCCATACCCAATCAATTCGTCACCATTTCTTTCGGATAATTTATGGGCACTTCTAGAAAAGTATTATATTCCCTGATATTGTCAGCCAGCCTCAGGTTTCCAGGGAATCGATTCTTCTACTTTTCGAAGGCCCAATATAAGTTGTATAGAATCATGCACCTTTTATTTGCAGAAATTCAAGTTTATTTCATATCGTCAATGACCAGTTGCAGACAATTAGAGATTCAATTTGAAGATCAAAACCCACAAAAATGGCGTCATCCGCTGAAAGAAGAAGCGTTTCTAACCTTAATGGGGTTGGAAAATCCGACTGTCCGTAAGGTGTTCGACGAAAGGTCTCTATTCAGTCCACTGTTGTTCGGTAAATTCTTTGATCCATCTGATGCCTTTCCTCTGTGGGAGTTTGAGTCTGGTGTATTGCTATCCAAACTCTATAGCTCGGGCCAGCGCAGTGTGGATTGGTTCCAAACTGATGATGATTGTGTTCTGAAAGCCGAACTACCTGGTGAGAATAAGATTGTTCTTAACGTTTTAACTTGTGTGCACAACTATTGTAATCTAGTCGAACATACCATACCTCTGCATCAGCCTTTTTTCCCTTGGATTTTATGATTCACGTAACTGAATCATTTTAAGGATAAATTCTTCATTGGTTAACTACGGAAATATAGACTAAGATATAACGACTTAGACTATTTCCCTTAAGATAGAATTTCAAGTCTTTAATATGATACGAAAGCTCGTTGAGCTTTAACAAGCAATTAGATTTGATCAAGATAAAGAAACGAGCAAACAGATTTCAAGATGGTTTGGGCCACCATTTTGCGAAATGATAAACTCAACATCAATTAACCACCGAAAAATAAACCAACGTATAAGGGTTAATAAGATTGATCTTTTAAGATGAAATCACAAATCTTAATAAACCATTCTCACTTTGCAGTATTTGCACTTGTGAGTTTGAGGCTTCATTCTTGAATTCTTGGTTTCACAGCTAAATAATCTAAATGAATGGTCCCCTGGGATCAAATTTTTGGATAAATAATCAACATTATCGGTTAATAATTCATAACAATAAAGTTGTCAGTAGGATTGAGGGAATAGAGCAAATTAAATGCTAAAGATAACGTGTGCTCGAGAGTCAGGAGGCTCCATGGCATTTTCTTCGTTATTCCAATAATTTAGGATTGACTACAAGAACTACTATATTCGGTTTTCAGAGAATTTTCTTCTCATGATGCTAATTTGTTATAGCAGGAACAGGATTAGGTAACAATACCCTTCAAGTTTGTGTTGAAGGTGGTAAAGTCCTGGAGATTAGTGGGCAATGGAGGCAACACAAAGATTCCAGGAGCAAGGACTGGAGAAGCAGTCATTGGTGGGAACATGGATATGTTCGTAGGCTCGAACTGCCTGAAAACTTGGATTGGAGAAAACTGGAGGCAAATGTAAGAAACGACGTAGTTTTGGAGATCAGAATCCCCAAGATCTATTTGGATAGTGATACATCTCGAGCAAATTAGACGAACAAATTGAAATTTGTAAAAGTATAAAAATACAACACATGAAAATGTAAATGTACTTTTTATGTGACTTAATACATTATTAGAGTATTATGTATATTACCTGAAAATAGTACACACGATAAGAACGTGACTGCAAATAGGTTTGTAATCTTGTTAATTAAAGGAAATCAAAGTCTAGCAATCCATATATGAATTAAGATCTAACAAAGTAGGTGTGGTGTCTATCTTCCCTAATTCCATTCACCATGCACAGAGTATCAGAAACTATTGGCGTGGTTCCATTCATGCGTGCTTATAAATTGATGAGTTTGTGCAATTATCCAAAAGAAAAGTAGTAGAAATTTGGATTCTTTCCGCTTCTTCCTCTTCTCAAGTTTTATACTTTTATCCTAAAAATATTGAAAAGATAAAATGTAAAAATTACAAATATCAGAAAAATTAAATAATAAAGACGAAAAATAGAATGAACAAAAATTCCATATATTAGAAACTCACGAAATAATAAACTAATCAAGATGGGCTGCCAAAAAATCGGTAAACCCTTGTCAGCATTCATTCGACAGCACATCTAATAGAAAAATGATTTCTTGACAAGAATTTTCCTTGGTCGAATCAAACATTCTCCCATCCCATTTGTATATTAATATTTAAAATTTCAATTCCTTTGGTGGATCTGGTCCCACCCAAAAGCCCTCAAGTTTTGGAATTTTTCCATCTTCGCTTCACCTGACCAATATTCAAGAATTTGTCGTCTTATCGGGTGTGTTTCACGATCCACTTTTTAGGTTTTGTTCAGTTTCTTGGCATTTTGCCTTAAACAGTGTGATTTGAATACACTTTTGAGCTTTTGCGTTGAATTCTTGAGGAGGGCCACCAAGATTCTTGTCGAAACGTCTGCGATTGGAACATTTGAGAACTGAACTTCTAGAAAATTGAGTAGGGTTAGTGAGAAATTCTGTAAAAACTTGACCTTTGAAGGTACATTCTAGCATTTGGCTATTAATATAAATGAGGGGATTTGGTATTTGTTTATCTTTTAAGTCTGTTCTCTTGATGACATGAAAGACACAGGATACAATAGGAATGCCCATAATTCTGAAAATGATGGGTATAAGTATTGTTTATGTCATGGTTTTTGTTGTTCTGCTTTCCCCTTCTGTAGCATCGCGTGTGGAGAGCAAGTGGGAGGCTGAAGAACCTTTACTGGCTTATCTAATTGACTCCGGGGAGATAAATCAGGAGATGGTAATGAGTTTTTATTCTTGTTTGACTTCAATTAGTGTAATAAACACATTTATTCATTTATTTTCGATTGCTTTGCTTACTTTTTTTGATAATGCTTATCTTATTCAATAGCTTTGCTTATGACGGATACTTTTAGTTGTTTCCATATAGAAACTTAGTTCTAGGAGATGGTGAAAGCAATTCTGTAGTTATGATTATTGTTTTTGGTGCCAATAAAGCTTTTTTCGCGTTTGTTCGATTACCATTGCCATCTCTCATATAAATTAGTCGGACATTTCAAATTATTTTTTTGAGTTTCAGGAAGTAATGAAACTTCTTTAAATGGTTTTGAAACACAAATATTAAAAGAACATGCATTAGATCCTTCGCGCTGACTGTGACTAGTTATTTCAGTTTTCGACTGGCTTATTTAAAAATAACTTCAAGTCTATTTATTGTCTGGGTGACATATGACATATTTAGAATTAATATTTGGAATAAATAAGGTGTTGAAAACAATCTTTCCATGAGGTTTTGTGTATTCAATAAATTCCTTATTGATTAAGGGTCTTCTAATACTTCATGTGCTATGAAGACCCATGCATGCATTAGTACTGAATATCAGTCAAGGGGGTATTGGAGGGTTTTCAGTGAGCTTAACAACTAAAGTACTCTAAGGGCCTGTTTGATTGACCACATTTTCCATTTTCACCAAACTGGCTTATTTGATTGCAACATTTTCTAGGGAATTCCATTTCCGCCTTTTCCCCCACAAATGTGCATTTTCCAGCTTTTTATTTTTTATTTTTTTGATTTTTATTTTCAGCAATGGGAACAAATTTTATCCACAATTGTAAAAAATTATATCCTTTTAATTGACAATTTTCATAAAAAACAAAGTCAAATAAACACCAAAAGATCCAAAATTTCAACATTTTTCAGGTGGAAATTGTGTTCATGAGATAAATGACAACATTGACTCCAAAAATTCATTTTTTAGTTTTTTTCTTTTCTTCATTTTGGGAATGGTGTGATGTTGGAAATTGATGGGAATGAAATAAGCCTCTGTTTGGTAGCCATTATTTGCTAGAAACAATATTTTGAATAGTGAATTTTTGCATAATGTGTGGTTAAAACGTAGTGAAAAGTTTTGAGTTTAGGTTCAAAATATTTTGTGTGTGAATGTGTGGTTGAAAATGAGTGTGTAAAGTTTTGAAATAATGGTTGTCAAATAGGGTTAAGATAGATGATGACAATTCCAGATGAAATTTGTTTCTTTTACATTTAACACAATGTTGCAGGGTTATTATTTGTGAGAAGGTTGCAAGATCACCTTGAAGTCAACTGTTTACCGAGCTGCCATTCTTCATGAGCTTCATTTGATACAATGCTACTCTGTTACTTTCTAGATTTTTTCATTCTCACTTCAAATTGTTTCAATTCAAATTTTTGCTTCATAGTAAGAAACTTGTATGATGCTGTAGAATGTGGAGGTGGGTTTTGGTAAAGAGGTTGCACCATCCTTTTGTGCGCTAAACTAAAATTTTGTACTTATCATATCTGTAGCAATAAGGAGTTACTATTACGAAGCTTGATGAGACATACATTATTTCATTTTCTTTATTTATTCTAAAACAGATTTCATGAGCCCATGTATTTTTGTAGGCTTTTCTTAAATTTTCATACTGTTCGAACATACCTGCTTACAGATTTCAAGCTAGTAATTTTGTTGATGTTGACGATGATGTCTCACCTTTTACATGCAATTGATATCTCACTGATCATATTTCATACACCAACGAGAAGTTATTTTGTGTCTGTGTAACTACCATTTGACAATCTGCCTTCTTTAAAACCTTTTTTTGCTGTGACTATAAAAAAGTTACTTCTTCTAGTTATTAATTGTAAATAATTATGTGAAGTAAAAAGTCTTATATCACATGGCAGCTATCTTTTCTAGCATGCCTTATAGATTTAAGAATAACAGAATAAGCTTGACTAGAATTATTAATACTTGTTGTCATAACAATATGTATGTCTAGAATGTATGTGCATAGTCTAATGGAATTCCATTACCGCAGGCTGAATTGATGTGGATAAACTGCAGGCTTGAGATGATACACACCAAGGAAGCGTTAGAAAATCTTGAAGTACGTGCCTCTGAGGAGTTAACTGACCAGGAACTCTTGTCATCACCCAAATCAGATTTTAGTAAAACTGTCAATGTCTTGCACCCACAGGTTAAGCAAATTCTGGTAGACTGTTTATGGGAAAGAAATCTTGCGTTTCCTATCTCTGATGAAGAAAAAGGTTTGAAAAATTGGTACACCAAGTACATGGGGTTTTTGTTTGCTAGGCTGAATTCTTCTAGAAGGCGTGAATTAATTCAGAGATTTGGAGGAGCACCAGCACCAGCACCAGCACCAGCACCAGCAGTTCTGTCACCTAGTCCAGAGTTAAATGATTCAGGCTTGCAGCCTACATCCGGTGAACATTCTTCAAACAGTCCAAATTCTGCTTCAGATAAACAGTCAAGCAAGCAAAAGGAAACTATTGTTGTTGCTGTTGTTGTAACTGCTGCAGTGACATTTGTTTTTTACGTACTGCTCTTTTTCTGCTGTCGCTGGTTTTGCGGGACTGGCTCTGGATGGGGAAGAAATGATGAAAGCCCTCTTCTCAGCTTAAGCTTAAGTGACTATTCCACTGGTACATTCATTACTTCCTAATTTGCGTAATTGTGTTGTCATCTTAAGATTATCGTTTAGGATTTCCTTGTCCTGATTCTTAAATTTCGATCTTTCAGCCTCTCCACAAAAGTCATTTGGCCTTCAAACTTCAGTGAATAAAGAAAAGCTTGGTAATCAATCATTTAATAACAAATTGAACGAAAACAAATTTAGCAGCAAGTTCTTTATGAAGTCTCATTCTGTAAGTGATACAAAAATTGAGATTCCAGTTGGAAACATTGCTGCAGCCACCTTAAGCTCAGCAGATGATTCTGTGCAGATACCACCTCCAATGTTGGGTACTTCTGAATTGCCTGTACTGAAGCCACCTCCTGGAAGGGCGGATCCTCCTAAGCTACCTCCAGGCAAGACAGCTTTTCCCCCGCCACCACCTCCTGTACCTGTTCCACCAGCACCACCTATAAAACTTTCATCTGCTGGCCATTGTCCTTTACCACCTGGGCCACTACCTCCAACTGCTATACCTTCTGGCATCGGGACTGGTCCTCACCCACCACCTCCTCCACCTGCTATACCACCTTCTGGCATCAAGACTGGTCCTCGCCCTCCGCCAACTCCTCCACCTACTATACCTTCTGGCTTCAAGATTGGTCCTCACCCACCACTACCACCACCACCACCACCACCACCATCATCTCCACCTCCACCTGCTATACCTTCTGGCTTCAAGAATAGTCTTCAAGTCCCACCACCACCTCCACCTCCAGTACACTCTGGTTTCAAGACTTGTCCTCACCCACCACCACCTCCAGGCAGTGTCCCTCCATCAAGGATGCATCCAGTTGGGTTGAAACCACCTCCACCTCCACCTCTTGGATCTATTTCAGGGGGAGATGCAGGAGGTGCTGCTAAAGCTAAGCTGAAGCCTTTCTTTTGGGACAAGGTTTTGGCAAACTCTGATCCTTCAATGGTTTGGCATCAGATTAAATCTGGTTCATTCCGGTAAGTCTTCTTTTCCCCTAATTGTTCTTGTTCATGAATGCAATGATGAGTCCAGCTGTCTGAGAGATGCGGAATGTCTTTATTTGCAGTTTCAATGAAGAGATGATAGAAACCCTATTTGGCTATACCCCTGCTGAGAAAAAAAAGAATGAGGCCAAGAGAGACTTTTCATCTCAAGATCCTTCAACCCAATTTATTCAAATAATTGATTCAAAAAAGTCACAGAATCTTTCGATTCTTCTCAAAGCATTAAATGTGACTATAGAAGAAGTCTGTGATGCACTTCAAGAAGGTGAGTTTATTTCTCTATTCCTTTTTGAATTTGGGACCTAGTAGCAAGATTACTGATGATGTAGCTATCTGCTTGAAGGGAAATCTCATGTGCTTCACAGAATGATCAAATGACCAGAAAAATATTTATTGTAGTTTTATGCTTCGTAGTGAGCATCTAACATATCTTCAACTAATTATTTATGCCCTCAAGAGAGAAAAAACATAGCAAGTTAAGAAAATATTCTATCTATATCAAGCCTCAGTGAAAATCAAGTCTTTATATTTTGACGCTTAAGTCTTGAAAGTCTAAGACAGAATCATAATATTCTAACATAGAGGTGGTCATAAATGTTGATTTACGACATATTTCATAAACTGCCTTATGGCTCCCTTTTTTGTTTTTTTTTGTTTTGTTTGTGTGCAATGCGTGTCTGGGCAAGTGTCCATGTGTTAATGATGGTTTAAAACCTGAGAGATGCTGGTCCTCAATGTTTTTATTGTTATTTTTTTCTGTTTTGGTAATTTATTTCAGACTCTTTAGAAGTATGATTCTATGGACATGATTCAGAATCACTAGGTGATGGTGTGCTATTAATCTTGGTCTACTTTTTCTCCTTTAAATTAAATTCATAGACTTGAGAAATTCATGATTTTTTATTTGTGACTACTTGTTGGTATTTGATAACAATAGCATTTCTCCTTTAAATCAAACTCATAGACTTGAGAAATTCATGATTTTTTATCTTGTGACTACTTGTTGGTATTTGATAACAATAGCATTTCAAAATGACTCCTTTATTGCATATGGTTCCCACTTATCCATATGTTCGCAATTTTCTTTATGTGATGAAATTTCTTGAGTCAAATTATTTCTAACCAGTCTTCTGAGGATCCCTGCATGGGATATTCACCGTCGAGAGGATTTGGTGTCTGGGTGGGTGGTGGAACACTTGTTAGAATATGAATTGTTTTAGGTGCATGATTCATCATTGATGAGCAACTCAGTGCTGCAACAAAGCTTGATAGGAGATAACAGCTATATTTCACTGACCAATATTATAATTTATTCATCAATACATAATTGAAGGGAATGATGCTTTGATAAGAATTTCTGCCATCTTTTTTCTGACATGTTTTCTAGTTCTGGTTGTCTCCCAAAGAGAGAATATTACCACCTGATAAGTGGTAACACTTGGATCCAAATTGTCATTCCCACTCAGCAATAAAATCTAACAAAATAAAAGCAACACATTGAAACTCATTTTATAAAGTGTCTACCACGGGATTTAGGTTTGAATTTCATATTATGGTGGTGAGATGACAAACATGAAGTTGTCTTTCATTAAATTTTGTGCCTGGAGGTGGTGTACAAACACGATGAGATGGAAAGAAAGTTATAGACATCTTTAAAAAGACAAAATTGAGGTGAATGCTTTACTCAGGAAAGCTTGAACAATTGCTTGATTGTTAAGCAAAAAGGCTTTAGCATGTAGATGGTTGTGTTAGTGCATTGTTTTTGAAGATGTTTCCTTGAAGTCGAGTTTTGCTCTTGCTTTATGATCTATTTATAGCCTATGAAAACACACTAAGCTTTTTAACTGAATCAGGTAATGAGCTTCCTTCGGAGTTTATTCGAACTTTGATAAAAATGGCACCAACAGCTGAAGAAGAATTGAAGCTGAAACTCTACAGTGGCAAGCTTTCTCAACTTGGGACAGCTGATCGCTTCCTGAAAGTCTTGTTTGACATTCCATTTGCCTTTAAGAGGCTAGAATCATTGCTTTTTATGTGCACTCTTCAAGAGGATATATCAATGGTAAAAGAGTCTTTCACTATTTTAGAGGTGAGATATTTGAGAACAGTTTAGGCACTCACTGTCCTAATTGCTATTTCACCGAGGCATCAATATGAACTCTTTACTGTTAGCATTTGAGCCATCATTCTATCAATTATAACATCTTCAAACTAATGTACTTGGCATCTACACGTGTTGCAGGCTGCTTGCACAGAACTTCGAAAAAGCAGGTTGTTTCTCAAACTCCTTGAGGCTGTTCTTAAAACTGGAAATCGCATGAATGATGGAACGTTTCGTGGCCGTGCACAAGCATTCAAGCTTGACACACTTCTGAAATTGTCAGATGTGAAAGGAACGGATGGAAAAACAACACTCTTGCATTTTGTCGTTCAGGAGATGATCCGTTCAGAAGGTGTACGAGCTTCCCAAGCAGCCAAAGAGAGCCAAAACACGTCCAGCATCAAGTCTGATGACTTACTCAAGGATTCTTCCCAAGATTCAGACAACGACTTCAGGAGTATTGGCCTGCAGGCTGTCTCTTGTCTAGGTTGTGAGCTCGAGAATGTGAAGAAAGCTGCAGATTTAAATGCTGATGATTTGACAGGAACAGTTGCCAAGCTTGGTCAAGCACTGAAAAACTCCCGGGATTTCCTAAATTCAGAAATGAAGAATGTTGCAGAAGATGGGTTTCATCAGACATTAAAGAGTTTTATGCAAAATACAGAGGCTGATGTTACGTGGTTGCTTGAAGAGGAGAAGAGAATAATGGATAGGGTAAAGAGCACGGCAGATTACTTCCATGGAAAATCGGGGAAGAATGAGGGTTTGCAATTGTTTGTTATTGTCCGGGATTTCCTCATAATTTTAGATAAAGTATGCAAAGAAGTGAAAATTCGCCATAAAAACCCAAGTAGGACACCAAGAAAAGAGGATTCAGTAGTGACTCCTCCAAATCTCCCTCCGAATCCTCCTCCTGCTGATCCTCTTCATCGATTATTTCCAGCCATCAAAGATAGGAGGATGTATAATTCAAGTTCAAGTTCAAGTTCGGACGAGGACTCATAGTAGTTTTTACAGAACAGGTAAATTGAACTTTTCTACCACCACATATACTCTTCTGGGAATGTGCAAATACTAAACATTATTAAATCTGTAGAGCTTATCAATACCATAAATATGTTCAAGGCTAACATTTTGTCATTACTCGCTGATTACAATTGTGGCTCTTGCAGTTTTATTTCCTGAAAGGGAAACATGGCTGCCCACAGTGTGACATCTTTCATATTTCTTGATAGAGATAGAGATAGATGGATCAATTGTATTCTACTTTTTCTTTCGCCACCTATTTGTGACAATTTGAATTAACTAATAGACCTTTGATGTTCAAAAAACATTAATATGTGAAAGGGTAACATTCTTTTTGGTAATTTATTCAGGTAGTGCAGAGGTTTAGAGAAAGGGCAAAGAAGCCTACTCCAATGAAGCTGAGACCCTGGCGGAAACTAACCGTCCAATGTTAGCAAACATTTTTTTGGTAATTTATTCAGGTAGTGCAGAGGTTTACCAAAGAAGCCTACTCCAATGAAGCTGAGACCTGACGGAAACAACTGACCAATGTTAGCGAACACTTTTGAGTGCTGTGTACAGAGGCTTAATTTGTGGCTTCATTTCTTCAGTTGGGCATCAATATTTTCAAAGAATTGCTGTATGTTTCTGTTTTGATTTACTTTTCTCAATTTTGTTTTCTTCTTGTTTTCAAAGAAGATTTAAGTGCTTCCATTCTCAATATTCGAAGTAGATGAAAAATATGAACTTCTAGCACCAAGTTAATCAAATAGTGTCAGTTGAAGTGCTAAAAAGTTAGCTCCTTTAGAATATCGTGTAGATCTAGCAATAAATCAAACAAGATTGTAAAAAAAAATTTGCCATATTCGAGCCCAGATTGAGAAAAAAATGCTTAATTTCTTTGGAAGTTGACGTAGCAGCAAACTGGTGCTGATTCAAGTTGGTTAACTCCATTGATAACCGAATTGGTTTTGTTAAAAATCAGATTTTTGGTAGGTTTAGATAAAAGTTGATGATACATGTGATTAAAAAATTTATAAAAATTATGGGTTTCATGAAATTTGAGGTTGAAAATGAGTTTTGGAAAAAATGTGATTTAAGAAATGGAAGCCGAGGCTGATTTTATTTGAAGGAAATAGATACACATGATGGTGTACTTGTTTCTACGTTGAGGAAATGTTGAACAGTGGCCCTATCAACGTTACCCGACCTTCAGAGAACGAAAATTAGTTCATGAATATGGTTGTATCCCGCAGATTGCAAGAAGATTTGTAGCTATCGACATCATCAACCTAAATTCCTGAGTGGGGATGCTCCAGTTGATGTACTTAAACATTAGTTCATTTAGATCGTGTAAAACTAGCAATAAATCAAACAAAACTGCAAAAATAAGAAAATAAATTCACATAGACGATTCATCTACATGATTTTATGAGTAATGAAGAGGTGAATAATTTGAAATTTGAGCTAGCTAGTCTATGGAATATGATAGAAGAAAATGATGAAAAGATTGATCATCTCATTGTCGGCTTGAACAAGTTGATAATAATCATGAGCCTAAGTTGCATTGGCAGATTCAGGAATTTAAATGAGTTAGGATAGATCCAAACATGCGTGCTCGTCTTCGCAATGGCCATCCAATATATAGGGGGAAAAAATCGACAGAGCCAACAAGGTTGATGCGATGGCTTGCCAGGTGCTGGCTCCGATACTATCGAGTTGCGAGGAATATTGAGATATATGCTTAGGAGCTAAATATTACAAAATATTAATTTCGTTCTACTTCCTAATCATAGAATGATGACAGTATTTGTTATTTTTAATTCTGACATAAGTTAATCCATCAAAATTTTAGAGGCATATTCAATTGGAATATTTAAAAACTTTTTGGAATTTAAAAAATTTAGATATTAATGTAAACTCTTCTAGATTCTTTAAAAGTATTGATGTGTTCAATCGAGACTTTTATAAACTTTTAAAAAGTCTTTAAAATTTACAATGTATTCAATCAAAACTTTTTAAAAGTTTCTTATAAATTTTGAGATATTCAAATTTTCAATAATTTTTATAAAAGTCTCTAGGTACAAACTTATAAAAATATCGAAATTTGTCTCATTCATGTCAAGATTTTGGGAGAATTTCAAAAAAAGAAAAAAGAAAAAAAAAGGGTGTTTTTTTGTTTCTTTCAACATTTTTCTTTCCTTTTCCCGAATATTAAGGTCATAATGAAAAATTACTTTTTTTACTTGTTATATTTATTTATATTCCCCCTCTCTCTCTCTCCCCCCCTCTCTCTCTGTCGCACACACACACACACACACACAAAACACGTCCCCTCTTATGATCAATGATTTTAGCAAGTGGAGGAAGCTGCTACACGAGAGAAATGAAAGGAACTATGATATGGTTTTTTCTCCTTTTCCCTTATTGTTGACATTGAATAATAGGCTTTTGGTTGCTCAGTGATTCAAAATATTCCCCAAAGTGATTTCTTGTTTGTGTCATTTTTTCCTGTTAAGACGTAGCTATTTATTATATAGATAAAATATTAGGTTTTTTTTTTTTTTTTTTTTTTTTTGGC